GGCGTTTGCGGCCCCCTGGCCTGTCCAGCCGCTGCCCGGGCAGCCTCTGGATGTCATTGCGACTTTTTAGGTCGTGGATGCTCCGGGGCCCAGAGCCTACCCCTGCCTCTGGTCGGCAGTTGTGGGCACCCCCGTTGGCAGAGCCGGTGGTGCCAGGCAGTCCCCGCAGTGCCGCCTCGCCCTGGTGCACAGGCTCAATGAACTTCTGCCAGCTCCGCAATAGCTTCCTGGCTCGTTTGGCGAGCTCCTCGTTCTTGGTCTTCTTACGGACGTCATTGATGAGCTTCCCCAGCCGCGTCTCCTCCAGCGCCTCTTTGGTGATGGGGTATTTCTCCAGACTGGAGATGACTTCCAGCACCGCCACCATGTTCCGGATGTTGCTCTGTGCATCGATGGCCTGCAGCAGCCGGTCCCTGATCTGCTGCGGAGACTCCAGAGCCGCTGCCATTGCCTGGGCGAGGCGGGGGGAGCGGCCAGGCCAGCGGGCGGGCTGAGGCGGAGGTCACTTATTCGCCGGCCTTCGGGCGCCGGGGCGGGAGTGGGCGCGCGGGGTGGCCCTCGGGCCGGGCCTCTGCGGCCACCTGAGGAGCAGGAGCCGCCGGAGCTACTGGAGCCGCCGCCTGGAGAACCAAACTCGAGTGAAGAGTTACCCCCACGCAGAGCACTCTAAGTAACCCGCGCCACACGCAGCGTCCGCGCCACAATGAGAAGGTTGGGAGATGGAGCAGGCATAGTCACTGGGCCGGGGCGGGGCCACATGCGCAACCGCCCGGCCCCGCCCTTCGCTTCCGGGCATGCCCAAAGGCGATAGGATGATTGATAGGATCATGTGGATTTTGTTCTTTACTTTGTTAATACGATGAATGACATTAATTGTTTTTCTTATATTGAACCACATCCTTGCATGCCTGTTACGAATCCCACGTGGTCATGATGGATTATTTCTTTGATGTATCGTTGTATCCTATTGGCCAATATTTTATTCAGGATTTTTGCACCAATGTTCATAGGAGATACTGGCCTGTAGTTTTCTACGTTGGTGGTGTC